GTAAATTATATTTTTATGACATGCCCTAATGTTGAAATATGTAATTGTGGAATGCCTAAAGGGTATGGAAAAATAAAAGGGAAAACAAAATTCAAGGAAATGGTAAAAGGGGATAAAAATAACCTAAATAAGGTAACTTGTGCCACATAAAATAATAAGCACATATGGAATTTGTGCCTGAGATTTTGCAGGCAATTAGATCTTATTTTTAGCTTTAAAACAAGTGATAAATTATCAAATTTGGAGTTTTGTGCTAAGAGTTATGCCCTTCCAAAGTTGAGCTAAAATACTAAAAATTCGAAAATTGACCATATGAAAAGTGCACTTTGTCGAATTTCCTGGTGCTGTCTTAGATGGAATTGAGGCCAATAAGTATTTTTCCTTTAAAGAACTCTTAGCAAGCTTCACATGAAAATTAAAACCACCTTATTTTGATTTTTCTAGATTTAGTTATGAATTTTCAAAGTTGACCTAAATTCAGATAAACAGTGTACGGACATACTAAAGGAAAATTTTAGAACTAAAATTTTTCACTCGAAAACGTTGGGAAATGCATTATAATGGTTTCAATTGATATATAATATGGTAATAAAGGAGGTGTGACATAACCTATGTGAATATGCTTGATATATGCTATGAAATATGGTTCAAATATGTTTGAAGGGCTAAATATTGAATTTATGGCAAGTTGAACTCTTAAAGGATAAAAGTAGACCTAAAATAAGCCAAAGTTTGACCACATGTGTTTTTGAGAAAATGAAGGAATTTGACCATGACATTTGGCAAATCAATATATCTCATTTTATCTTCAAAATGAGTGGAAATTAATAAAAATTGGAGTTTTGTAGAAAAAGTTATGCCTTTCCAAAATTAGGCATAAATTCTAAAAATTGACCAAATAAACAGTGCACATTGACGTAAGAATTGAGCACTCATGAGCTGAAATAGCAATGTAGAAGTATTTTTTCTTTAAAGATCTCATTAAAAGCTTTAAGTAGAATTTGGAATCATGTCATTTTGATTTTTCTAGAATTAGTTATGACTTTTTAAAATTGAGCCAAATTTAGGGTTACACTAAATAGTAACCCAAGAAAAGAACTTTAAAATTTTAAATTTTTCTAACTTAAGGGTTAAATAAATTGTTCCAATTACTTCCACTTGATATAAAATTGAATGATAAGTTAAGGTGTTACACCTGTAAAACCCTTAACCTTAAAAACATTATAACCCGTCAGAAAACCACTACTATAGTAGAAAAGGAGAGCTATTAAAATGAACTACCATAGTAGGAAGAAATTTGCATAATTTTGATTTCACATTTAAACCGTTGCATGCAACTGAAATCATTCATTTACATCTAATGGGCCTCCGAGCCTCCGGCCCGGGTAACAAAACACATCACATCAGCCCATCTAAAAGATTCCCAACAAAATAATCCAGAGTTCATAAAACACTAGCAATGGCCTCCGGCCAACCAAAATAAGGAGATACATTCTCTCCAGTTTACAACAAGGCCGGGTAATCAAATATTTCAAAAAGTAGTCCTAAATGTGGCAATATATACTAGCCATATATATACAAATGCTAGAGGCCTAAAGCTAACCAAGCTCAAGCCTCTGCGTCTCTTCCCGATGGCCCACGCCCGGAACCTTCAGCTGAAAACATTGTAAACCACGGGGTGAGACAAAGTCCCAGTAACCAACCTTTCCAATACTAGGTACTACTAAATAGGTGCTCGCGAGGTGTCAAGTGGGGCAGTTCACAAATAATATATAATGATAGCCACTACAATTCATGCAAGTGCAATGATGCAATCCCCATCAATCCTATCCCTCACTTTGGGAGATTTTCAAGAGCCGAACCCGGCCTATCCCTCACTATGGGGGACGTAAGGAGCCATAAAAGGCCTATCCCTCACTCTGGGGGATGTAGGGAGCCAAAAAGGCCTATCCCTCACTATGGGGGACGTACTAAGCCAACCATCATGCATTAATGGAGGCCTTACCACGTGGTAGTAACAGACAAAACTCTCACCAATTCCCAATTAATGCATCATGCCCAAATCATAAACAAAGAGTAATAATCATTTCACAATTAACCTCATTCAGTGGCATATCTTTCACAATTCCAAAATTCATTCATCATTAGCCGAAACCCCACAAAACGGTTTTCCTTTTTATACACAACATACAGTTTGAACATAATTACTACTTAGAGCACAAAATATAAATCTACTCACAATACCACAGAAGCAAGTACTAAGGATTGGAAAGTGGTTACCTCTCGCCTGAGCAAGGAACAACAAACCAACGATGTGGCCCCGTGCACCACCAAGACTCACAACCGGTCTACACAAGCACACAAACACACAACCATCATATATTAGCTTTCAAACTAATAATGTGGCCAAAACAACACTTGGGGACACAAAATTCCTATCTCCCATCAAAACTCTACCCAACTCAAAGGGTAAATCTATCAAGGCAACACTCTAAAGTCATACCAATCCATTAAAGCCTTAATTCCTTTCCAAACATCAATTAAAATTCACAACCTCAAGGACCCACTATGGAATTCTACACCCAAACATCCCATTTGAGAAATTAAGGTTCCAACAACAATTCTAAACCGATTAAACATCCAATTTAACTCTCCTTAACATAACCCAATTCACAAAACTCAAAATCAATCTCTACATTATCATCCTCAACCCCAAATCATCCAATTCCATAAACCCTAGCTCCAAAAATTCAAGATTCTTTAAATCCAAGGAAACTACATCGATTAAATACTCAAACTAACCCAATGCAATCAATTAAACTCAAAACAATCGGTCAAAAACCTCAGTTCCATCACAACTTAGAAAATCCTAGGGTTCCACCAAAAATCCTCATAAATTCCAAGGAATTCCAAGAAAGAAAGAAGATTAGAGGTTAAAATCACTTACTTGAGGTAATGGATCCTTAGAAATGTCTTTCCCAAGCCTCAAAACCGAAACCCTAGCAGAGCTCCTCTCTCCTCCTTCAGATTTTCTAATTTTCGCACGCTGAACCCTCCCGCGACTATATAGATTCGGGACCTTTCGCCGTGGCGAACTAATCCCGAGAGGGATTACTCGCCTGAAAACCCAACTTCGCCGCGGCCAACTCCAACCTTCGCCGCGGCGAAAGCTTCCCGAGTGGAAACTCTCGCTCGCCCAGAAAACATTCGCCGCGGCATACCCCTACCTTCGCCGCGGCGAAATCTTCCCGAAAGGGAAGCCTCGCTCACCAGAATAACTTCGCCGCGGCGTCCCCAAGACTTCGCCGCGGCCAAACCTTCCCGAGAAGACACTCCTCTCTGAGACTCCCAATGCGCCGCGGCGAACATACCCTAAGAGGGGTATGTTCACCTATTCCTCCAACATACCTCAAATTCAACCCAAACATCAAGATCAAGATTAGATTGCTAATCTATCCTCAAAATCAACCCAAAAGAGGCTATTAAAACCCGATAAAAACTCAAGATGTTACAACACCTCCAAATCTTGAACCGTTGACACGAGCATGCATTTTTTTGTTTATTACGTAGTAAAAAAAATACTCCTCTGGTCCTAAATATAAGAACCTTTTTGTAATGTAATTTACATTACAAAAGGGTCTTATATTTAGAACCGAAAGAGTATTATATAAATTTGAGAGATTATATAAATCATTTAAAGTTTTTAAACTAGTTACAAACATTTATAAACACATTTAGTTAAGTATATACTTACTAAAGGAATTAATCAATTTTCAATCAGAGTTTTTATGTCTACATTAACTAAATTAGTTAAGCTTTTTTTTTGTCCCAATATAAGTAAAAGATTAAAAGAATAATTGACTACAAAAATATTAAAGAAAAGAAAAATCTTTAGTCTTCAAAAAAATTTAGCTAAAATTAAATATTTAACATGATGAAAGTTGAATTAGTAAATTAAATTTAAAAATAATATATATTTAATTAGAAAGATATCTTTAAAGTATTCTCAACAAAGTTAACTATTCAAACTTAAACGTATGTTTTCAAAATAGGATGTGTAGTTATTACAAAATAATTTTAAATTTTTTCCTATCTATGGAAATTTATTTATTTATGTTTTTAAATGACTAAAATATATTTCAAACATATATTTTTATTCATGATATGGTATAAGTTATATAAATCATTTGAATTTATAATTTAATATTTTTCAGTACAATATTCCTGCAAACAATTTGTAAATAGTTTCATTCAAGGGTACTAGGAGAAGGAAAAATTAATAAATTGATGTTTATTTTAATATTAGTTTTAGTTTAAAAATATATTTTTGGATTTTTAAAAATATTCTTAGCAGAATTAATTGCTTGAATTTAAGTGTGTGTTTTTAAAAATAGAGGAAATGACTGAAATAAAAACTAAAATAAATAAATAAAGGTCAGGACATTTTACTTTGAAAATAAATGCTGAGATAAATAAATAGATGTTAAAGTTTTTTACTATGAAAATCATAAAAATTGAATTGGATTTGCCAGCCGAAAAAAGGGATTGGATTTAAAAAATATTTATTTTTGGTACTAAATGTTTCATGAAAAAATTACAAGTGTTTTTGTTTGCCAAAAAAATATAACTATTTACCTTTTTGAGGGGAAAAATAAATTTAATCGCCCGTCCACACTCCACATTCCACTTTTTTGGTCTTTCCCTTTCCAAACAATGAAAAGTTGGCTCTCGTTGGAGCTCCTGTGGGTCCCACTTACGAAGAAATGACCGTTCATGCCCCCCCTCGTACTGCTCGCGCAGTTAAGTTCCCTGCTCAGCTTAGCTCTCCTCATTCAAATTTCAAAATTTGAAAAGCAAAAGCTGCCACTTCACTCCCATCTGACATTGCATGTATCACTCATTCCTCTCGCAAATTCAAACTTGAGCTTCCAAGCTTCAGTGGAGGAGAAGTATCAGTCCGCATAAGAGTTTCAGGGCTTTTAGCTTAATGGCCTTTTTGTTGGATCTCTTGTTGGGCCTGTATTTCCACCGTTTCTTTGTTTCTACTTAATATTCTGTGTTAGTTCTCAGGTTTCATTAGCAATAGCAATGGGAGAAGAAAACACAACAGAGAACAGGTCTAGTACCAAGGGTTCGTCAAAATTCGCCGATCAAAATCAGAATCTGAAGCTTCAAAATGCGAAAGGAAATTCGAATCACTCGAAACCTAGGTTAGCATCTTCCTGGGGAGCACACATTGTGAAAGGCTTCACCGCAGAGAAGAAAACAAAACCGCAGGCGACAGTTGCGAACAAGAAGCAACCTCTAGCGAATTCAGTAGCAGTGCCTGCTCATTCAAGAGTCAAGAGGTCTCTCAACAGTGATTTGTCGTGCCCAATGAATGTTGCTCGGGTGTATCCGAATCTGACGCATCGGAGACAGTCGTCGACGGATTTGTTTACTGAGTTGGATCATATGAGAAGCCTTCTTCAAGAATCGAAGGAAAGAGAATTGAAGCTGCAAGCAGAGCTGTCTAAATGTAAGACAAATCAAAAGGAGCTTGAAGAGGAGAAAACTAAGCTTGCTGAGCAGTTAGCTGCTTTAACAACATGCGTTTCAGAAAGACATGAAGAACAAGAAGTGAAAGGCAAACACAAGGATTGTACTCAGAATCTTGAGCTTGAGGTCGTTGAATTGAGGCGATTGAACAAGGAGCTACAGATGCAGAAAAGGAACCTCACGTGCAGACTCTCTTCTTTGGAGTCTCAGATGCCCTGTCTTGCTAAATCTTCAGAGGTGATTCTCTCGTTCACTATTGATTTGTGATATAAAGATTAACTCTATTTTTTTCAAGCAGAAAGGCATGAATACGATTGAGCTGACTTGCTTAACATAAATTTAATCTTCACTTTTTGATGCACTCAATGTCTCGATACAGAGGAAAAGTAATGACATTCTGTTCTAACTATTGTAGAAATAGTTATTACTGAAGCACATTCTATTTTGCAACATTGCATTGTCCTGTCTTTCCAGAGTTGAGAAATTTATTTAAAGTAAATCTTAACTTTAGTTATGAAAATTTCATGCCTATATGCTTTTTTTTTTTTTATAACACCATGCCTATATGCTTTAATCGTTAATTTTCCTGTTCTCATGAGTTATTCTTGTAGATATTATATTTACTCAAGAATTTACTAAAGCCTAAAGGAAGATTTTTCGTTTTCTTTCCTGATTTAAATTTAAATTCTTTCTCATCCCGCATTCTTATAATGCTTGTGATCAGAGTGATATTGTAGCGAAAGTCAAAGCCGAGGCATCATTGCTCAGACTAACAAATGAAGATCTATGCAAGCAAGTAGAAGGTTTACAAATGAGCAGGTTATCTGAGGTTGAAGAACTTGCCTACCTTAGGTGGGTAAATTCATGCTTAAGAAACGAGTTGAAGAATTCATCATGCTCAACGCCTGATTCTGTCAATAAGCCTTCCTCAAGCCCTCGCTCATTTGAGAATAATGTAAATAGTTTCGATTCAATCAAGAAGCCCAAGAAATGGCCCATAAGTAGCGACCATTTGTCACAAATAGAAGAATGCCCAAATAGTCATATTGGGAGAAGCCCCAAAAGAAGACACTCTATAAGTGGATCATCAAATTGTTCTGAGGAAGACACTGTATTGAGTAAGAGGAGACAATCTGATTATTTCCTATGTACAAAAGAAATGCAAAAACAATCTGATTTGGAGATTGTCCAAAGGCCACAATGTTTTGGGAACTTCCAAGAAGCTAACAAACTTTTGGTTTCTTCAGATGTTGAGAAGAGGGCCTTGCGTATTCCTAATCCTCCTCCAAGGCCTTCTTCATATTGTATATCTAGTATTTCAAAACAAGAAAATACTAGTCAAGTTCCACCTCCACCACCACCTCTACCTCCTCCACCACCGCCTCCGAATTTCACACAGAGGAGTAGTAACACTGGAGGGATGGTGAAACGAGCTCCACAGGTAGTGGAATTGTACCATTCGCTTATGAAGAGAGATTCTAGAAAGGATTCTTCAAATGGAGGACTTTCTGATGCAGCAGATGTTGCTGATATTCGTAGCAGCATGATTGGAGAAATCGAAAACCGCTCATCACATTTGCTTGCTGTGAGTAGTTTCAACTTTTCATGTTCCTTATTATTATCACACTTAAGGGCCCCCCCCCCAAAAAAAAAAAAAAAAAACGAAAAGAACATTGAATCAGTTACATTGGGTCAGAGTGCTTTACTTCTATAATTTTAGAAAATATTAAGGTAGTGGTTGTTATTAATTTTTTCCTAAATATTTCATTAAACTTTGTCGATGGGACTAACCATATGACATTTTAGTACTTTGAATATATATGATTTAGTTTCTGGTCCAAAAAAAAAAAAAAAAAAAGAAGAAGGATATATATGATTTAGATTAACAGTTAACAAAATGCTTAAAAGTAGAAAATTAAAAATCACTCACGTATGGCATCACATGCTACCTAAGATTAGTAATTTAAGTGAATTATCACGAACCTTACACATTTAAATTTAAAGTATCAAAATACCACCTGGTTGAAAGCGTTAGAATAATTTAATGGAGATTTGACAAGAAAGGGATTAAATCGAAGTTTTTAAATAATACTAAACTAAAAATTGAATTTTTAAGTTTTAAATAACTACGATTTTTAGCATGAACACTGGGGGAAGTGATATCTTGGGGATTCAATATTTGGTATTGTAGAGATATGATATGATTTGATATGTAAATATTATGTAATTATGATTAGGATTTGATAGGATATGATATTATCATAATGAGCCATTAATGCAGAGGCTCCTCTCACTTGTATATATATGTGTATATTCTATTTCCTACAGGTATTTTGATCGGATGGATGCTCTGCTTTACATTTGCATATAACTAATCATTATCCGTTGACATGTAGATAAAGGCAGATGTTGAGACACAAGGAGAATTTGTAAAGTCATTGATTAGAGAGGTAAACAATGCAGTTTATCAGAACATAGAAGATGTAGTGGCATTCGTGAAATGGCTGGATGATGAACTCGGCTTCCTTGTAAGTCATTTTCTTCATATGAATCTGAAAGTGAGAACCTTTTGCATGTTCTTGTCTTGTTCTACTGGTTTTAATCATGTACACTCTTAGGTTGACGAGAGAGCAGTCCTAAAGCATTTTGATTGGCCAGAAAAGAAAGCTGACACATTACGAGAAGCTGCCTTTGGATATAGAGATCTGAAAAGATTGGAGACTGAAGTGTCCTCTTACAAGGATGATCCGCGGCTCCCTTGTGATATTGCTCTAAAGAAAATGGTTGCATTATCAGAAAAGTAAGTAATTGAACATCTGTGAAAGTTCTCTTAGGGAAATAAACAACTCCTGGAGCCCTTCATTTAATTACTATTATGCTTATTTTTGCTTTCGTTCTGTTTTCCCTGTCAGGATGGAACGAACAGTTTATAACCTTCTTCGCACAAGAGACTCTTTGATGCGTAATTGCAAGCAGTTCCAAATTCCCATAGAATGGATGCTTGACAATGAAATCATCGGCAAGGTACATCATGCTGTGCATCTGTCTATGTAAACATACAAACAATTACTTTGACATATTTGTGGCATTGTACAACGAAAGCATTACTAATATCAGTTTACGTTGAAAAGAGTTTAACAACAGTGATGAAGTCAAGATATAAAAAATACAAAGCCTCATCATATTCAGTAAAGATCTAACAATCTTACAATATATGGCACAGTGTTGACATAACCAAAAAAAAGATGAAATGATTTTTGTGACTGAGGTTTTAGCATGTTTCTAGCTGACCTGGCATGGTCCACAAAATTAAGGACAGGCTGCTGACTATGAAATAGGTAATACTGTGCAATGATAATGTTATAAGATAGTTATAGTATTTGATATTTGATGACTCAAGCTTGAAAAGTGGAAACCATAATGATCTATGTGTAAATGCTGATTTTCAGCAAACATATCACACAATGCACCTCTGGTTTCTATAGCTTTAAATGAAATATCGAATTTTAGGTTAGAAACATGAGGAAACTGGACTCCTAAGGATGAATTGTTACTGGTTCAGCAGAGCTCCAAATGATATTTGACTAGATTTATTGTTGCAGATAAAGCTAGTCTCAGTTAAACTGGCAAAGAAGTATATGAAAAGGGTGGCTATGGAACTTCAAGCCAAGGCATCAACAGAAAAAGATCCTGCAATGGACTACATGCTTCTCCAAGGAGTGAGATTTGCTTTCAGAATCCATCAGGTTCATTCCTAGTTCTTTTGGCAGTCCAATATTTTATTTTGAATCTCCCATATGAAAATGAATTTTCTTGTTAGGTGCATTTTTACTCCCTTTGATTTGCTTGAGAAAATAGTTTAGTCATTTAGTTTCAACTGAAGCGATTTTGTACTTTTAGCTATCTGGCCATTGGTCAAAATTTCATTTCCGAGGTATTGCAATTTTAGTTTAAACATGAAAAGAGAGACAATTGATTTGGATTCCCTACAATTAAAGTATTAATATGATGATTACTTTTTCTGGTAAAAGGAGAAAATGTATTTTACTATGATTTCAGGAATGCAGTCAGGTCTCCAGGAGACAGTTTTTTGCAAATTTAAGATGATAGTTGTGAAAACAAATTATAGATTTAAAATGTATTTAAATGTACAAAACAGATAACGTTTTTAAAGTACAGTTTTTTCTCATAGTTAAACTTCTTTGAATTCCCACAGTTAAAATTTTTCCTTTACATATTTAATCTATTAAAAACTCCCCAAAACAAGTGGTTGTTGGGAATCCGCATGCGAGATAATGAAACATTTTGACATAAAAGGATAATGATAACTATTGTCACGTAAACAAATTTATCTGTTGTCCTAGCCCTATCTAATTATTATATTTTGGTTTACTTTAATATATTACTTGATAAGTTGATATAATATTGCTATAATTATCTTCATACTTGGAATAAATAAATTGGACTGACTACTTGTCTCTAATTGAACTTTGGGGGACTACGTTCGTTATTGAGTAAATTAAGACTTAAAAATGCTGCTAAACCTGCATTTTATGCTTTTTTTTATTTCGTAGTTTCATTTGGTATTTCTTTTTTGTATTTTATTACTACAAAGAAAGAGCCACAGATCTTCCCAAGACATAATAGATTATTGTTGAGGATCTCAGAACCTAAATTGCATGTTTAAAATTTGTATACGAGCGCTTCTAGATTTTGCCATGTCATTCTGTTTGTCTATACATGCTCTCTAATGATCATATGATTGTAAGTGCTAATGTTTCCCTCTCTTTCATCCCTCAATACAGTTTGCAGGGGGATTTGATGCAGAAACAATGCATGCGTTTGAAGAACTTCGCAACCTTGCATGTTTGCTTAACAAAGCGTAAGAGAAGGGGACATGTGGATATGTTGCTTACCTTATCCGCAAACAGGACATACATTTTGATGTATTTCATTTTGAAGGGGTTTTGGGATGTACTTGTGAATTCAGTGTCTAGATTACCCACACAAAACTGAGTCACAATCACAACTTGGTTTTACCCAATTGGGCAAAGGTGGACTTGTTATAACCAGACAAGAAGCAGGGAGGGTAACAACTTGTAAATCCGACTCGTGATAGCAACCCCTTTTGACAGCTACTCTTATTTTCCCTCTAGTGATTCAAAGAGGACACAACTCTAGAACTTAGGACTCTGACGATTAGGCAATGCTGTTTGTAGCAACTCTTTCTGAAATGTCTTAACGACCGTTGATAAATCGTTACCCTCCATACTTCTTATTAGGTTATATCTAGTCCACTCTTGGTGGATTAGGACCCAAATCTAATTGAGTAAACCATCTCCTGATTGTGTCTCATTTCATACAAGCAATTCAGATTTTATGTTAGAAACTATCAAAATCATAATTATTTTGGAGGTAAGTAACTAGTTGTTACCACCAAAACTATGATTTTAATGATATCTAACACAACGAAACACGTTACGAAAATTTGCGGGCTGGTTTATGTTCTCATAAATAGGCAAAATTTTGTTTTAGAATTGGTCCACCACAAGTGTTGATTGGAAATTTGCTGTGAGATTATCGTGGCCTTTTAGAATGACTATTAAGTTGTGCAACACCAAGGGGTGGATTTGGTCAAGTGTGCTTTTTGGTTTTAGTTTTCGTTGTATGCTCAAAGGGGGGAATAACATAATGTTGCGGTTGAACTTCATGAAATCATGAATACAAATAACTTTAGTTGTTGGCTATTGTTTCAATATTTATTATAATTGTTTCACAATTAGGTTTTCTTCACTAAAAAAAAACAAAAGAAAAAAACTTCAGATACTTTATGGTGGGAATTATTTTTCCAAATGCTTAAACTCGTTTAAGATTTGAACAATTTTAAAAATTCATCCACCCAAAAACGGTTTCTTCAATAAACTTTGTTTTTTGTGTATCTGAATTTTATCTTAGTGTGAATGACTTCTAAATTTCATCACCTCTTGAACAACTTTATAATCCTTCACTATATGTCAATGATAAAGCTCAATTTTTATATATTTTATCCCATATTAAATTAGGATTTAAACGATAATTTTGAGCTTAATTGGATTTTTATGCATTATTGGATAAATTGGTTTATTTTTGGATTTTGCATAAAAATTGAGATTTTGGATTAAAAATATAAATATTTTGTGATTTCTTATTTTTGACATGGAATTAATTTTTTCTATTTCTTTGGAAAACAAGTCTTATATTTTTAGAAAGATTAGTTTTAGAAAGTTTTGCAATTTCTTGCCTAATTTTTGTGCATATCTAATATTTAATTTTGATATAGATTATATTATATTTGGATATAATCTACATTAATGGATGCACTTAAATTCTTGTAAGTCAAGAAAGAGCATATAGGAAATCTAATGGTGCAAGATTATTTCTTGGGATTTAAGCACAATCCAATGGCTAATATCAAGTGGGTCAATTAATTACTAATGGGCTTGAGTTTTGGATTCAAGAGAATTTTCTTTTCTCCCATTAAAATAATCCCTCCAGCCTACGCCTAGAATCACTTTCTCCTTCTCCATTCACACTCATGGCAAAATTCAACGTAAAATCTCTTCCTTCACCACTATCCCTTGAGTCCCACGCCCTCTCACAATCCATTCATTCCGTTCCATTGTCATACAGCATCATCCACTCTCATCAATTGCTCCACGCGTATTTCACCCATAACTTGAATCATCACACTGCGTCACATGCCCATGAATTGCACTAAGGAGCTTGGAGGAGGAGATACATTGATGGAAGCTTAAGCTTGTGAGGCAGACAATTTGGGAGGAGCATAGAGGAGACTTGAGCCTTGGGCTAGTACTTGAAGACCATAAGGGAGTGATGTTCTATTTATCTTTTTCATTCAAGGACTTGAAATTATTTAATTTTAGATAATTTTAAGTTGTAATTTTGTGAGACAGTTTAGTTCTAGATTGTCATCTTTATGCTTGGACTGGATTGATATTTGGATTTTATTTGTGTTGAGACCCTTGTTGGAATTTATGTTTAGAACCTTTGCATTGTTAATTGAATTTACAATTGAGTTTTCATTATGAGTTTAATTATCAATATGGTTTGAATTGCAAAATTTGGGTTCTTTTGCCTCTTAATTGTTTAATTAAGTTGGTTAATTGTCTAATTGTTTAATTGGATAATTTCAAACATGATTTCCAGAATTAATTTGAGTTGTTTTCATTGGTTTTTAATAAGCTTAATTAATCAACCTTATACTGTTACGAGTTCTCTAATAGTTTAAGGGTTTTTGAAGTTGAGGGTTTCCTTTATTTCAAGTAGGTAATTAAGTTTATTAGTTCCACTCTCTTATCACCTCCCTTTGGTCTAATTAACTGATTAAGGTTATGAAGGTTAAATCCATGCGAATTCTAAGTTGTCTCCCCTACCTTACCAAAGAGAACTTCTCAATTTTTACTTGTTAATTTTCTTTGTTCTTTACTCAATTTTCTTCATTTATCATTTTAATTTTGTTTTCTAAAAAAAAAACCCCCCCAAAAATTGCGTTGCATTCGTTTATGTTTAATTTAATTTTCATATAGATTTTAGGACATTTGCATTTTCCATTTATAATTAAAATTTTGCATTTTAGTTTAGGTCCAATTTATTGTATTTTTTTATTACCTGAATTTTCACCTAAAGAAACCCATAAATTGCTCCTTGGAAGTAATGACCTAGGTCGATCCTGAACTACAAATTAATTGGGACCTAGTTTAATTGAGTGCTTTAACAACAAAAGCATCATCAGTAAACCCCCCAAAAATGATTTTGATAATGATTTGATCATCATTTGAATAATGATTTATGAGTAAATAATTAGGTTTTTGTTAATCATTATATAATAATATTAATAATTAATATTGTATTTATTAAGAAGTGATTAATCAAAATATGTAATGATTAGGTTTTAAAAAATTAATAATAAATAATGATTAAAATGACATGACCAAAAAATAAAAAATTGATTTACCTTATAAATAATGGCTTCTAGTATCACATCTTGTTCTCCTCCACATACGTTGTGGTGATTATTGCATATTCAATTCTTTAGTTTGATCAAGTATCTCATTTGCTTACATAGTTGGCATATTTAAATCAAACTAAGGGGATTCAACTAAAAAATTTTATTGCTAACGGGTAGCAAATGTTTCATTTGATAGATTACCTTCCTCAAAAGTAAGTGTTATAATCATCAATAAATAATGAATGTTCATCAAATAAGGACATGGATGATTGAAATTAAGGAATATTAGGTGAGTTGAAATACGATAATGTCAATATTGATAGCATGTCATGAAAGCCAAACTGAGTTGGAGTGGAACAGGTGGAAGGGTATGATGATGAGGCAGGCATGTAATGAGAATGATTTAAATTTTAGGGTTCTCGTTTTCTTATATTTTCATTTACAATTACAATTGGTGGTTCAGCAAAGAAATAACCGTCATATCATTTACTCAGTCCATTTTGGAGAATTTGTAGACAAAGCAACTCAACTATTAGTGGCACTGACTGAGGATTCATTTTAAAACATTGTCCTCTAATTATGAATAAGATGTTATGCTGATCTCGTGAACATCCTAATTTTTATTCATATGATTTAAATATATTTGGAAAAAAACTATTTCATAATAAATGAGATTTTACCATGTAATTACTTGAGTAAAGAGGATTTACCTAAAAAGTGATTTATTGAAATTAGGATTATAAGGAAAAAAATTTTTTTTTCTTAAATCCTACTCTCTCAATTATCACATTGAGTTATTATGTGTAATATACTCCTAACTATACCATACTTTGCCGGATATCCCCCATCTTTTCCTCTTCCAAGCTTCAGAGTTTATTTTTGTTAAATAAAACAACTCCTGATCACAAAATTTTTTTTATTGAAAATTATCATACTCAACTAGATCTACCTGATGGATATAATATTATGATAATCAAAGAAAATTTTGGGATTTAGATATGAAGTAAGTATTGAGTTTTGAGAATAGATGGCCATAAGAATTTAGAGATAAATAAATAGTTAATTTCAATTGGTTTTGCATTTGTCTATTTGTTGCTTTTAGAATTAAAATTAAATTTTAATTGAAAATATTTTATTCAAGATATATGTAATAATTATAACAATTAAATTTGAGTTAAATAATTTATTTGGGTTGTTTGACATACTATTGAGATTTTAATAGGTTTAGAATGTTAAAAATATTGAGCATATATTATTAGAGAATTTTTGAAGCTTGAAAATTACTTATAAATTTAGAATTGTATACAATTAAATAAAATAAAATTTGAGGTTAATATGTGGTTCAAATGAATTATTTGGAGTGAGGAAAAATTTCAAATGAAATTAGAATAAATAATTGAGAATTTTAATTTGGAATTAGTAAAGTTTTATATAATTAAGTTATTTATTTTTATATACTATCTTTGTCCTCAATATAAGAGCTAGTTGACTAATTTGAGTAGATTAAGAAAATAAGTTAAGCTAGTTATTTGTAATAAATAGGTGTTGTATTTCCTAAAATATCCTTGTTAATCAAGTTTATTAGTTAGAACTATCATTATTAGGAGCACTATCTTGGGAAAAATGAATAAATATATATGAGAGACAAAGTAGATTGGGATCTTAGAACCAAAATAAAAGTCAAACAAGGTATTATATTAAGGACCGGAAGTAGTATTACATTGTAAGTACATTATTATGCAGATTATTTTGCACCTCGGAGTTTATAATTCGCACTCTTATTTTTAAAGCATGTAAAGTTAAGCTTAGAATTGAGGTAACCAGGGTTAACTTATTTATTTTATCAAATTAATTTGTAAAAGTATGTCTATGAATAAAGTATATATTTTCTTACATGATAAATTTTGGTGAAGTAGGAAGTATGTTGATTTAATTATGCATAAGTTGTGTTTTATTGGGAATTATGTTTTCTTGTGGTGCTGAATTTGATACATTAATATTATGTTATTAAATAAAATGGAAATGTGTTGTACTTCGTTCGAAATTATATCGTCTCACTTTGAAGAACTATGATATTTTTAATTTATATTGTGACTATGCATAGGGTTTATATGTAGAGGTTGGAAGTGGATAATTGTTCTTGAAATCCACACGACATGCTTACATTACTGATCATACCGTTTGGCTTTTTGTTAGACCCTTTAGTTCTTCTTTTTCTGTGGCCCGGAATTGAGATAGAGCTCTTAGGTAGATACCTCTTACATTATAATTCATGCTTGGGCAGTATTGGTGTAGGAGGGGGCTCTTTGACTTAATGTGAGTGGAGTGACCTTTGGCCAGGTTACTTAGCACATAAGGCCTACGTCCACATCAAGGAGTCAGAAGGAGGAGTCTGGTGATGTGAGGACATATTTCATTGTGTTGTTGCATATATGTACTTTTGTATGAATTAATGTTGTGGGTGGTAGGGCATACTTCTTTCATGTGGTTGTATTTATGAAAGCATAATTTTTACTTAAATTATATTTAAGCACTACTTTACTAACTTGTCATCCTACTTGTATACGTCCTAAATTAATACTTCGTTACTAGGACTTTATGTCTTATCCCATTATTAATTCATTATTTTCAGGAGAGCATTCTAACTCGACCTGGTATGAAGGGAA